TCTATTTGGAAAGTTCTAAAAAGAGTTATTATAAGTCAGAGTTGACTTGATGGCCCTTTATCATCATCATTCAAATTTTCAGTTGAAGATCCTCTCAGCTCTTTTTACTTGGGAGCTTCTGGACAAACCAGAAACTGTTTTTTTTTTTAATATATTTGAAAGGATCTGCTTTCGTACCAAGCATTTTATCCTTATAGTAGGACTATACAGTAGGACTGCCTTATCCACTGGATCCGTACCCGTGGTTTCACTTATCTGCTGCCTGGGGAAAAAAACCAGAAATGCAAGTTCCCAAGGTGTAATACCAAGACTGAGCACTAGATGGAACCAGAGACTATGCTCTATACCAGTGGTTCTTAACCTTTGTTACTCGGATGCTTTTGAACTGCAACTCCCAGAAACCCCAGTCAGGACAGCTGGTGGTGAAGGCTTCTGGGAGTTGCAGTCCAAAACTCCTGAGTAACCCAAGGTTAAGAACCAGTGCTCTATACCAGAGGATCCCAATCTTTTTGACACCAGAGACTGGTTTAATTGAAGACCATTCTCCCAAGGACTGCGGGGTGGGGGGTGGCGGCATCTGTCCATCTGTCCATGTAGGGGGCGTGCATGTGGGCAGGTGGTGTGTGCATGCATACAGGAGACATGTGTGGGGCATGTGTGTGTGTGTGCGGATGTGCAGGTGGTGTGCAAACGTGTGCATTCCTTTGGCCCTCGAAAACCTGTCTCAGCACCCTGTCCTTCCAAGGCCATGGACTGGTACTGGTCTGTGGACCGCAGGTTGGGGGCCCCTGCTCTATACAGGTGTCCTGACCTCCCCAAGGGAAGCAGCTTCCAGGGAAATAGAGAAACTGCATTTGGAGGGGCAGACAAGGGGGAGGAGACAGCTGCTGGTTTCAGGGCCCCTTGCAAACAGGAGTGCATGAAACCCAGTGCTTTAGCAAGACAGTGCCAATGCACAGACACCAGAAAAACTGGAAGGACGTGCTTCCTTTTCCCACTTTTTCTGACATCCATGGGGGAACGTGGAACCAATCCCCTGTGGCTACTTTGGTCGTACTGTAGTTGGAAGAGCAGTTTGTGGCATTTGTCCTTATCTGTTCCTCCGTAACCAGATGTCACTTTTGATCCCTGCAGGTAAAAGATTACGGAGAGAGAAGGTGACCAAGCATCAGAAAACGAGAAGTGAAAGATTGAAGGAGAAGCCCTATCAATGTCTAGAGTGTGGGAAGGACTTCCACCAAAGTACACAGCTCAAAAGGCACCAGGTTGTTCACACAGGAGAAAAGCCCTATAAATGCTTAGTGTGTGGAGTGAGTTTTAGTCATTGGAAAACCCATAAAGAACATCAAAGTGTCCACACTGGCAAGAAGCCGTATAGATGTTCCGAGTGCGGGAAAAGCTTTGGCTACAGCTCAAACTTCAGAATGCATCTGAGGATCCATACCGGCGAGACACCGTATAAATGCTCCGAGTGTGGGAAAAGCTTCTATTCCAATTCACACCTTAAATGCCACCAGGTAATCCACACGGGGGAGAAACCATACAAATGCTCCGAGTGCGGAAGGAGCTTCAGTCGGAGCACTCACCTTAAAAGGCACGAGAGAACCCACACGGGGGAGAAACCCCATAAATGTCTGGTGTGTGGAAAGAGCTTCAGTCGGAGCACCCACCTTAAAAAGCACCAAAAAGTCCACACCGGTGAGAAGCTCCATGAATGCCTGGTGTGTGGAACAAGCTTTAGCTCTAAGTCATGCCTTAAGACACACCGCAGAATTCACACCGACCAGAAACCCTACAAATGCTCAGAATGTGGAGAAACCTTCTGCTCTACACAACGCTTTAAAGCCCATCTGGTCACTCACACCGGAGAGAAACCATACAAGTGCTGTGTGTGCGGGAAGAGCTTCGTTCGAAGTACTCACCTTAAGAGGCATCAGAGAATCCACACAGGGGAGAAACCCCACATCTGTTCCGTGTGCGGGAAAAGTTTTAATCAAAGTCAAAACCTGAAACAGCATCAAAACACCCACACTGGCAAGAAACCGTATACATGTTCCGAGTGTGGAAACAGCTTTGGGTATAGGACACACCTTACAACACACCAAAGAATCCACACAGGCGAGAAGCCCTATAAATGTACAGACTGCGGGAAAGGCTTCTATTCTTTGCAACACTTTAAATTCCACCAGGTCACTCACACAGGAGAGAGACCCTATAGATGCTCCCTGTGTGGGAAAAGCTTCAGTCGGAGCTCTCACCTTAACAGACATCAGAAGATCCACTCAGAGGATAGACCCCATAAATGCTTGGCCTGCGGCAAGAGCTTTAGTCACACTGAAAACCTGAAACAGCATCAAAGGACCCACATTGGCAAGAAACCCTATGGATGTCCAGAATGTGGAAAGAGCTTTAATTATAGAGCGTACCTTAGAACACATCAAAGAGTACACACAGGCGAGAAGCCTTATACATGCTCTGAGTGTGGCAAAAGCTTTTACTCTGTGCAACACTTTAAATCCCATCAGGTCATTCACACAGGAGACAGGCCCCATAAATGCTCTGTCTGTGGGAAGAGCTTCCTTCGGACGACCCACCTTAATAGGCACCAGAGAATCCACACAGAGGAGAAACCCTATATTTGCTTGGCCTGCGGTAAGAGCTTCAGTCACAGTGAAAACCTGAAACAACATCAAAAAATCCACCGTCTAGAAACCCTGGAGATGTCCTGAGTTTAGAAACACAGCGAAAGCCTGTGTGGAATGGATTTCTGTGGGTTACATATCTCTTGGGAATATGTATGGGAAGGAATATGGCACATCCTGATGACAAGAAGACAGAACTACAGTAGGACTCCCGTATCCACAGGTTCCACTTATCTGCAGTCTGAAAATATTAAAAATATTGGGGGGAAAATCCCCCCAAAATGTATTTCAACCATGTCGTTACCAGAAGTGGCCATTAGAGGGAGCCAGAGACCATGTTATGTGTAGCATTCACTATTATCCACGGTTTTCGCCATCTGAGAGGAAGCTAGAACTGATATGGGGGTCCTACTGTGTAGTCAAGTGGGTTATACACCATCCTTTGAGAAGATTCAGACCAAGAAAATGGCATATAATGGCAATATATTTAATCAGTTAATCATAGAGAATTCACAGAAAGATCCCACTCAAAGGGGAACAGCCCCTCCCAGCATGGTGGCCAGGTGTGGTCACGAGACTTCAGTTGAAGCCAGCGTACTATTAGCAAAGTCTTTTGTTTTGGCACTGATGTGGTGGCTTCTCATTAATAAATTTTGCCTCCAGATTCCCACATGAAACAGATCCCCATTCTTGGGTGATGGGAAAATGGGCCTTTTTATCTTGTGGCTTGACTTCCTGCACCGAGGGGACGTTTTGAATCTCTTGTGTTTTGTCACCTAGGTACAACAATAATCCTTCATTAAACGGTTTGATTTTTTGCATAGTCTAAATCCGTTGTGGGTTTTTGTTTTGTTTTGTTTGTCACAAATCCCTGCTAGTAGTAGTATACTTTATTATGGTCAAAGATCAGTAAAACCAAATCAATATAAAATAGATACAT